GAGCCCGATGTGGGACTCGATCCCAGGACCCTGGGATCATGACTTGAGCCGAAGGCAGTCACTTAACCAACTGAGCCACCCAGGCACCCAGAAAATATTATTCTTAAAGTCATTGTTTTCTAACTCAAGCTTTTTGGCAAGAGTTTGCTTTATTGGCAAGAAGAGTATGAATACATGTTTCAGTTTTATGGTTGCTTGAATAAAACATAAGAGTTCTTCAGTGTTTTCTAGCATTTGCAGGTTTTTGTCCACAGAGAAATTGACAAGACTTAATCACACTTTTCTGAGTTCAGGGAAGCATTTTCCATGTATTAAAAGATTCACGTGCTTGTCTAGCTTCATTTGCATCTTCCAGGGTGGTAATGTAGCTGAAAGAGCTTATGGCTTTGGGACATTATTCATTATAGTGATTATGAGTCATTTTACCTCATCTGTATGACCAAGTAGGGCTGCCATCAAAGTCAAATCATGTGTAAACTCCTTCCTGGAAGTTATTCTTGGAATGGTCTTTCCTTGTCTAATACAGTAAATCTCCTACCTCAAGTTCAGTCAGTCAGTTCTGGAAAGTCAGTGGACTTTTCAGTAGAAGAGAAGAACTTAGTATTTTCCTATTTCTGAACCAGCATCTCTTGAAAAGGCATCATGAAGTTGCCTTAGAAGTTGAAAGTACCATTGGCCAAGTTTTTGGTGCCAAAGCATGCCTTTCTAAAATGCAATGGGTTATGGTTCTGCTGAGTTTTTTTTATCAAAACAGCAAAAACAGGGGTGCCTGGGTTACTCAGTCAGTTAAATGTCTGCCTTAGGCTCGGGTCATGATCCCAGGGTCCTGGGATGGAGTCCCGCATCAGCCTCCCTGCTCAGCAGGGAGTCTGCTTCTCCCTCTGCCTGTGCCCCTACTCGTGTTCTCTCTCTCTTTCTTGTTCTCTCTCTCAAATAAAATCTTTTAAAAAAAATAAGCAAAAACAGATGTTAGCAAAGGATCCTAAGTGTTCATATTTGTGCACAAGTATTAAACTATTTCTTTCAAAACTTTTTCAAAACTTTAAAACTTTTTCATTCAAAAGCAGTGAAACCTTGAACTGTTCCAAAGACCTAAACAACTTACGTTAATTTCTAAAAAGTGCTAATAAGATGTGTTTTATGATAAGATGTGAGAGCTGACAAAAGTGAGAAATGTCAGTCATTTAACCTTGTTGCATTCTGAAGGGAGATGGCTTCCATTTCTACCATCTCCTGTTGCAAAATACTTGAATAAATGATGAGAGATTTTAGAGATCACATCGTTTGACAGGACACTGCTTTACTTATCTCCCTTTACTCAAAGCCATAAATCGGCTCCACCATCTATAACCTCACTAAAGTTTCTATAATCAAAGATGACTTCTTTGGCATAGGCTGTTGACTGAGTACTTAGAGATAAGGCTTTTATTTATTTTTTATTTTTTATATGGAACACTTCATGACTTTGCATGTCATCCTTGCGGCCATGCTAATATCTTCTCTGTATTGTTCAGTTGTAGTGTATGTGCTGCTGAAGCAAGCATGAGATAAGGCCTTTATTAAGGAAAATCTAAGTTTTCATAAAGTTCAAGCTTTTTAAACCAACTTATGAAATATCAGTTACATTTTGAGTTCATTAGGTAGAAGAAGATCTGTGCCTTCAGCTTTACTGACTTGAACCTTGATACACAAAAGTGGCTTTTATGCCCCTTGATGTTCACCAGTGAAAGTAAAACTTTTGTTGTACTTTCTATGGCATTTAATACCCTTAAGTAGGCCAAAGGTATACACATGAAGATATGTCCATAATTGTGACATAAGATATATTTTCTTTTATTACTGTCAGTAAGACACTATTTTTGGATATTGTAACATGACAATGATAATTATACATAGAATCTCATGTCACTGCACACCTTTTAATGTTAAACAAATAAAAAAAATAAACAGTACCTTAGCATGAATTAACAAAAAAAAAATGTGTACTTGGTAATGTCCCCTCTGAAACTATAAATTATCTGGTTTTGGTCTATAAATTCATCTGGGAAACTCATTTAGCATAAACTCATTTCTGTTTCTATGAATTTGACTTTTCCAGGTACCTGATATAAATGGAATTATATTTATCTCTTTGTGACTGGTTTGTTTCAGTTACGATTTTTTTTTAAGATTTTATTTGCTTATTTTCAGAGAGAGAGTGCAAGAGCACGAATCGGGGGGAAGAGAGAGAGAGAGCATCTCAAGTAGACTCCAGACTGAGCACTGAGCTCAGTGTGGGACTTGACCTTACCACCCTGAGATCATGACCTGAACCGAAATCAAGAGTCGGATGCTCGACCGACTGAGCCACCCAGGCGCCCCTCACTTATAATGTTCTTAAGATTCATTCTTGTTGTAGTATTGCCAGAATTTTCTTCTTCTTTTTTTTTTTTTTTTAAAGATTTTATTTATTTATTTGAGAGAGAGAATGAGATAGAGCATGAGACGGGGTAGGGTCAGAGGGAGAAGCAGACTCCCCGCTGAGCAGGGAGCCCGATGTGGGACTCGATCCTGGGACTCCAGGATCATGACCTGAGCCGAAGGCAGTCGCTTAACCAACTGAGCCACCCAGGCGCCCCGAATTTTCTTCTTTTTTTAAGGCTGGATAATATTGCTATGTATGTATACATATATGTGTATGTATACACACACACACATAACACCACATATTGTTTATTCATTCATCTGTTGGTGGACAGTTGGGTTGCTTCCACCTTTTGCGTACTGTGAATTATGCTGCTGTGGGCATTAAGTATACAAATAGAAGGCTTTATATTTTAATAAACTATTTAATAATGTAATGCTGATTTTAATTGGTATTAAATACTGAAGTGTTTCTTTTCTAAGATGGTTCTTTTTTATTACTATCTACTTATTTAAATATTCATAGGTAGTAATATTTTAACATCAAAATTAAATTGAGTTCAGACTTTTCATATACTATTTAATTTTTTTTTTAAGTAGACTCCACGCCCAACTTGGGGCTTGAACTCATGACCCCAAGATTGAGAGTCGCATGCTCTACCAGCTGAACCAGCCAGACACGTCCTTCATATACTGTTTAATCACTAGTTCATTTTAATGGTAAAACCATTAGTCTATCAATGCTTAAATAGTGGAAGTGGATGTTTTTTGGAATAATCCCTAACCCACGTCTGCTTTATCTTAGGCATCTTTCAACCTCATGTACGACACCTCCTGGTTTTGGCAACCCCTGTGGATATAGTGATTCTTGGACTTAGCTATGCTAATTTACAAACAGGTATGGCAAACCACATGTGGTATTTTTAAAATAAAAATATGTTAGCCAATTTATATAATTAAAAGCTTTTTTTTTTTCACTAAGTTAACTTTCCAGACTATTTGTTCATAGGAAAATAATACTTCCCTATAGGTATGATAACTTTCAGGTTAGTAGCTCCATCAAGCAAGTATTTTGAATATGCTTATCATATTAATGTGCATTCCTTAAATGTACAATATAAAAGGGTAGTAGAAGAGAAATAATTGACACTAGTGAGTTTTTCTATAATGCTTTCAATTTATTTGTTTCTGGTTTTTTGAATGGTTGTTTTAACATATGGAACACTGAAATATACATTATTCTTTCCTTTAATATAAGAAGACCTGAATTTATTTTTTTCTTTTGCATTCTGGCAATCTGTTTTGGGTGAAATAGTGTTGAATTTCAGTGACTGAAATTAATGATTATTACTATCAAATCCTTGGGTTCTTTCCCAAAATCTAGTAATTTGGGATAGTTTGTCGATTGATGTTTTACAATGTTATGTATATAAAACATATATTGTGCATATATACATATTGTAGGTTCTATTTAACTTGAATAAACTGTATCAGACTTTTTATAGTAATTTAAAAGTATATGTTGTAGAAGCTTTTAGGTGTGTCAATAAGAATTCAGTAAAAATACCAATTCTGAAGATAACGTAGTGATTGTTTCAAACTTCAAAAACGCTAATAAGCTGATTCATATTCTTTCTTTAAAAAAAATAGGTTCTGGGGTTCTTAATGACAGTATGTGTGGTGGAATGCAGTTGCTTCCAGATCCTTTATATTCTCTTCCCACTGATAATACTTACCTTTTAACAATAACTTCCACTGATAATGGGAGAATTTTCTTGGCTGGAAAAGATGGCTGTTTATATGAAGTAGCATACCAAGTAAGTCTGACATTTATAAACATTTTTTTCCTCCCCCTGGATAAAGTAGGGATAGATTTTACTTTTGTTTTCTAATTATATAAGCACATTAATGTATTCTTATGAAAAGTATTCAGACATACAGTTAAAACCGTATATAGTCTTGCATGACTACACCATGCCTACAAAACCCGGTCCTCTCTCCAGAAGTAAAATCCAGTTCTGAGTATGTCTTCTTAGGACATGATACATTGATAAGTATCTATAAATTTCTATCTGTATGTATTTATATGTATACACATATACAAATATGTGATGTACTTTTGTATGTTTTTCCTTAGATTATTGCTTATGTTTTGTTACATAATTGGCTTTTCACTTAACTGTGTTATGTTTTGTGATTGCTGTACAGTTGTCTATAAAATGGATGTACATTATTCACTTAATAATTCCTTTCTTGTTGGACTTCTATGTTTTCAGTTTTCCTATTCATAAATAATGGTATAATAAGTGTTCTTTTGCAGGTCTCCTTGTGTACATGTGTAGATATTTTTTTGTGTAGAGACTTAGAATTCCTATGGTTGGGTTATGCAGCATATGCATTTAAAATTGTAATATTTTCATATTGCCCTCTGAGAGTTTTTTAGACTCTTAGCAGGCTTCCTTTTTAAGAATTTTTATTCATTTATTTGACAGGGAGAGAGCACAAGCAGGTAGAGTAGCAGGGAGAGGGAGAGGGAGAAGCAGGCTCCCCACTGAGCAAGAAGCCAGATGTGGGGCTTGATCCCAGGATTCTGGGATCATGACCTGAGCTGAAGGCAGTCGCTTAACCAACTGAGCCACCCAGGCACCCCACTTAGCAGGCTTCTATGAATATATCCCACCACCCCTCACTGATGGTAGTATTATCAAACTTACTAATTTTGACCAATCTGATAGAAGGAAATTTTTTTTATTACTCTCTCAGGGAGGATCTTTTCATGTATTTATTGGTCATGTATGTTTACTCTGAAATGTCTTTTTATGTCTTTTCCTACTGTATTACTGACTTTTTTTCATAAGGTAAATGTTAGGAAACTGATAAAGTAATATTCTCAGAGTCACATGGCTAATTAATTAGTGGCAGAGCTAGGATTACAACCCTGGTCAGCTGTGTTTTTTATATTACATTGTACCTCTTTCTTACCTAGTTTCTCTTGGCTTTGTTCATTATCCGCGCTCCCGCCCCACCCCACTCCAAAGGTTTTGTATGGCAAAAGTCAGACATTGAGAGGTAAACTGTAGATTATGGTGGCGATGGCTGCTATTAAGATTTCTTTTTAGGGGCGCCTGGGTGGCTCAGTCGTTAAGCTGAGGTCATGCTCAGGTCATGATCCCCGGGTCCTGGGACTGAGCCCTGCATCAGGCTCCCTGCTCAGGGGAAGCCTGCTTCTCCCTCTCCCACTCCCCCTGCTTGTGTTCCCTCTCTTGGCTGTGTCTCTCTCTGTCAAATAAATAAATAAAATCTTAAAAAAAAAGAAAAGATTTCTTTTTAGCCAAAATGGGAAGAGATGATACAAGTACCCCTATCCTATGTACTTTGGGCTCTTACAGACTGCACTTATTATTTGCTTTACTACTTTCAAATGAAAGAGTTTTTTTTTTTTTTTT